CTTTTGTAATAACCGCTTGTTAGATACCGGTCGAGTACTTAGTATACGTACAAAAATAAAATTACTACTGCATGGCCGGCATCAAAAATTCTGAAATATAGTTTAGGTCATGCAGTTGATAGTTGGTGCATATTTGCCTGTCAAGAAAACCATGCTGTAAATTATATTTATCAGGCAAAACAAATCGACAAAGTTCCTCATGTCAGTTTTAATCGCTTTTTCAAATAACCAGGCGATTATTCGAGTGTGGTGGATTGGCCAGTAGCTCTTAATCTTTTGTTTGTGATCTCATTTGTGCTGAGATATGACAAATGGTTTTCCATTGATCTGGAAGGTGGCTAGATTCCAGCGATAGAGTGAACATGTTCATGAGGAACAGTGGTATATCAGGCGCTCCTAGTTTAATAGTGATTGGTAGAATGGTCTGATTGGCTTGATAACTTGGTGGATACTGTTGAGCGAGATATCGACCGCTTGTAGGGTTTGTTCCTTCAACCTCTCTGTACACAGGTGCATGATCATCTTCGAGACTTATGTAAATATCAAAGTAGTAACTGAATGCTTCACAGATTGCGGCTAGGTCATGAAGTAAGTGGTCCTCACCGTCAACAGTTTCAATAATCAAAGGAGAGCGGTCACTGGTTCTACGACGCAGTATTTTGACAAGCGTCCTCGCCTTGCAGCTTCTTCGTAGGTCTATATATTCTTCATTTTTTCGGCTCGTTAACTGCGCATGTTTGACTGGTGGTAAATTCGTGCATTTGTAAGATCAGTAAAAAGTCATGGCTTTTTCCTGAATCTTGCAGATAAATTTAGGGTTTCGTGGCTGACTACGTGTTCGACGGTATCTTTGTAGACATGAGCAATAAATAAATAAACCGTTTGTTCTCGACGACGCGAGGCACGCCTGAACAGACGTGATCATGGTGCAAGGACTGTGAATTATCGGGAAGTGTACAAACATGTCGCGTTTGCCAGTAACATTGGATCTGTTTATGTGTACCTCTGTGTAGGTGTGCATGAGTGCTTCATACTGAGGTTGATGTTGCATACATCATGCTTCTTCACCACAGCTGTGCTACACCGACTTACACCTAAACTAGACCTACTCAACTGGGACAAGATGCATTCCATCTTATTTGATTTGCTCAGTTCTGTTGTTTTGCCGCATACTCCGTGTCTGTTTTGCGTGTTTACTTTCCTTCAAGTTTTGTGTTAATCGTTTGTTATCCCCGATGTGACTACGCTTGATGTGAGTGTTGACAAGGTGCCTAGCTGCTACCCTCCACCTCGATTACTGGCCCCAGGAGACTGCTAGTCGTTGCTCGGGGCGGGGTGTACAGTCCTCATAACCGTGCTATTCTCAAAGAGTGGTGGAGCGGGCTACGTCCCAGCCACCGCCTTGTGTAAGTATGCTACGCATGATTCCCCACTTAGATAGACATGAATGTTGCTGTTATGCATATTGAAGTAGTGTTGACCGGCTCCGTTGATGGAACATGAATTCCCTCCACGTGCTTCTCGGCCTTATTCCTTCGGGTTTACACTGGATATGGGGTGTGTGGATAGAGCTGGGGGGTGGTGCAGCATAAGCCACCCATGTTCTCTCTGTATACGCAGGCGTTCTGTGGCTGTCCTATGGAGGCCGCAGTGACAGGCAAATCCGGAACTGGATGACGCCAACCATGTGCTTGTGTGTAGCTGTGGTACTTGGGTTTGTAGATGTGCCGCTGTACTTTCGACGGTTTGATCGCGTCGCCAATGTAAAAAGGGAGGATTGGAGCCCATGGAATGCATATGATTATCCAGATAAGCAAGCGCAGTGACTAGTTGGTGGCGAGTCACATCCGCCACGTCGCAGTGTTGTTAAATAGACCTTTGTGGCTTACAAGGTGAAGGTCCACCACGTCCTGGAACACTGTCGCTAAACTATTGGTTGGAACGGAGTAAACCCGAACCACCCACTTGGCACCACGGGAATGTTGTTCGGCGAGCCAGGAACGAGGAAGGCTATAACGCAATAGATCTGATTATAAAACTGCTCCACAGCAGTGCATAAACTTGTAAAGAAGAAGACTACATCACAGTCAGAGAAACGAATTACCTGTCGAACATATTTCCAATTTATAAGTTGCACATTGTGGTGTAGAAGCGCGTTTAGTGACCATTTTTATGTGGAGACTGAGCAGGATGAGTGTATGGTTGCTGCCAGGGAGACTATCTAAGATCTCAGTCTGTGGTTGGGTATCCCTAATGTTAGTATTAAGTTCAATACATTGGCCAACAGGGTTGAACTGGTCACCCGTGTCTAGCCCCATGCTCTAATGCAAGAAACAAAACTAGTGTGCAAGGATAACGATGGTTTGGATGACCACTGTAATTTTGGTAAGTTGAAATCACCGGCCATTATCTTCTGGCTGTGTGACTACCCTGATACATAAGTCAAATACAGTAGTGAAGTTGGTGGTACCCACGTTAGACGCATTTGCTGAGTTGTAGGTACAGGCGAGCAGTATGTAAGAAGACGCACCTGAAACTGACAGCCAAATGGGTTCATGGATATTTTCCAGTTGTGAGCGGTCCATACGTTCAGCTGTAAATGTTTTATGCACGTATATGATATACCCTCCAACTTTTCTGATGCAACGATCTTTTCAAAACAATCGGTAGTTTGGAATCATCAGAGTAGGGTCAAGTGTATCAGAGGAATACCATGTTTAAGTGACGTGGATCGCTTGTGGATTATTGAGCTGTGCAAGTGTGTTTAAAAATGTTTGTTCACTATGAATCTGCATTAGGAAGAATCACTGAGAATATACTACGTGTTGGAGAATTACCGCGGTCTGTTGCATGATCGCCTGTGTGTTTCGGTCGAAGCATAGTACACATGGTAGGTAAGTGCAAAACAGGTGTGCTCAAGTTAGCTATTAAGAAGTTTTGAGCTAGGGACAGTGTATCACGTGTGAATGTCGAGACAGCAAGGGGCACGAAGACAGCCGAGGTATCATGCTTAGACTGCCGTTGACTTGACACTGAACTAACCTTTTCATGTTGGCAAATTGGAGGAGTGGGCTCAAATCGCTGACCTCCACCGAATGTAACTGCGGTGAGGATAGATGGAAGTCCGGTCCCGCCATCGCTAAAAGAGTTTTTGGATGAGGTTGTGGGTGAGGTTGAACAAACATATAGCAGAGTATGAGGTTACATTGTCCTATTAGCCAATGTCCTCCCGTTATCTTTACGCTTCCAGTGTTTGGGAATGGTATCAGCAGTACGCCGATACGCAGTGCCGACGCTTCGCTGCTACGTAACCACCACTAGTCGCGCGCGGACTAAGGATACTGCGAAGCAGAGATTTATCGCATCTAGACTCCGTCGGATAGCCATCACACACACACACACACACACTGGAAAATGCATTACACAGCCGTCTTATCCTTTCAAGAATCGTCAGCAATGCGCATTCTATCTGACCCCTGTGGGGCTAAAACTTGCTACCCAAATGTTACCAGTCTAATGAAAAACGTTGTGAAAGACTGACTCTACACACTGTTCTACCGCCGAGTAAGAATTGACCTTGTTATGACTCAACGAATATTACACCTGAATCATTTCGGCATACTACGGCAAATATTTCACCGGCGGGAACCCTGTACACTCGAGGACCACGTTACAAACTCAGGGTTCCATGCATGAATATCAGCATTGTATAGGACGAAGAATCGTAAACTTATGGAATACACTACCATAAGGAATAATAGAGGTAGGTTCTGTGAAGTGTTTTAAAGCACGTATAGACGATTATTTCGGAAATCTGTGCTTTGTAAAACGTTGCACATACAATTCAAAAAATACATCCTATGCCCGGAAATAATGACACTAATACGAATTCATAACCGAACAAGGATAAACGATTAACTGACCAAACATTACCGCTGATGATTTGCAACTAAATGTTTTTTTATTTTTCATACTTCGATAGTTGTACAGAAACTTTTCTACCTGCTCTTAAATACAGTCTCAGTCCGTGGTGAATGCCACGGGGAACTGCTCACTCTCCACTGACTTGCAGCTTACTGCCATGCAGAAGACAGAGTAACCCCCACAACTTAAACCGCCAATTAACTTACGGCATTATAATCAGTTCGGTCTGCGTCCTATTTACAAGGGAGTAGTGAGATCAATGAAATAGCTTCATGACATTTAGTAACACTTATGCCGGTCGTTACCATCCCCCGTCGCCCAGTGCTATTCACCCCGGACTGGTAACAGTCGGGGTGTGGGTTCTAGCCTCAGAGGGGCCGAAAAAGGTGCGAGCTGCTGATGATTGCCAGTTGAAATGACCGTACAGTGTGTGCTGGCTATCTGACGAAGTATAGATATGATCGACTTAAGCTGAATTTTCCTGTGTTATTTTATAGGATCTTCATTTCTGTAAGCACCGTAGCTTTCGCTGGGAGCATGTGATACCGACTTAAAAGTAACAGCACCACTTTGATCGCAAAATGAGATCGTGGGATAACCACATTACTTGATGCAGAAGACTGAGTGATTTGGTTGGCATTAATTCCTGCTGATTCCAGCCTACGGCTTAGCCTTATTGTTGCATCGGCCGTCCAGTGAACGGAATCGGTCAGTGGATAAATGTACTGTGACACTTATGCGGAAATAAACTGTGTACACTGGTATGGGCGTATTTTCAGGGCCATTATTTGCTTAATCTAGACACCTTTGATCCGATGCTTTACAGCTTGAAGTTTTCCACTCAAAATCAAATTTGTGTCTGTCCCGTGCTATTTTTACTTCTCGTGAGTATATTCGATTGTTTCCCTGCTGTTATGCACCATTTTGCTCTGAACGAGGACGCCGATGCTACTCTTTCTTTGTGAAGGGGAAGGGAGATGCTGCAGGGGTTGCTCATTTGCCGGTATTTTTTCAATTAGGATTACATCTATTATATGTTTGCTGTTCCATTTTTCACCCAATTCTCCTGCTTTTTAGCGAATCCGTGGTTAATCGCGATTCATACAAATCCCATCTTTACTCCTGGTTTTTGAATATTGTTCGGACATGCTATGGGATGAAGCTTTCATGTAAGTTATAATGTGATTTCAGACCACCGAATTGCATATCGTTTACAGCACCAACGCTTTGGACGTTCCTATTCAAGAGGTTATCCCGTTCGATCCGCCAGTTTCCGTAAAGTATGTTACGGATCGCGAGCATAACCTGTGGTCCAAGGTGATCAATCTGGAATTATGTGATAGGCAAAGTCTTTCCTCCCTCATGGCCAACGTAGGCTTTATTCGCGAGCTCTCTTTCACTCACTTAATTCCTGAAGTGAAGAAGGGGTTGCTTGGCCCACCGGCAGATGCATTCCTTAGTTTCCCCACGAGCATTAAATTGGAGCAGTGTTTTATGACTATTTCTCATCCTTTGAGCACATATGGCTCTGCCTATGATGTGATGCGCCGCATCGGTTCTGAAGGTCTGACTGAAAAGCTTGTTGCTGCCATTATCGCTCGGACATTATTGTGCGTCGAGCGGTTGCATGCCCAAGGTGTCATGCATCGCGGCTTGTGTGCCGGTCATTTGTTGTTAGTTCACAATGAATCCTCCTCGAGCAATATTCAGGTCCGGCTCTGTGGACTTGGAAGTCTCGCTCAGTCTCTCTCGTCGCACTTCAAAGTGGCTCGGAATGATCTACCACAGATTCACTTTTCGTGGCGCGGGTGGAATGTGCAACGTAGCCCTAATGGAAATTTGCTCTATGGTCATCCAGTTGCTTGGTACAGTCCAGAGATGATAGCACAAGACTTTAACGGCTATTCCTTACCTTCTGACGTTTACAGTCTTGGCTTGACCATAGCCGAATTGTTTACTGGTCGCGTGCCCTTCGCAGGCTTAAAACCAACTGTGATTGCTCTGAAGAAACTTTCTGAACAAGAAGTACCAGATTTGAATTTGGTGAGCTCTATTTCATTTGATACACAGTCTTTCACATAAAGTAATCAATACTTTGAATAGATTGTTCGCAGCCCAACGTTACTGGGCTTAATGCACCCACCTTCTTTGGCCTCCGTTGTCTAACGTTGCAGCTAATTTGTCTGCCGCCTGTATCGAGCATTGGTATCAAGTAAGTGGATGAGTACCAATATAATCAAGATACCACCGAGTAACATGATCTGATAGTCAGTGCAGTGCTCAATTCGTCGATATTTCGCTGTGTAGGGACTTGGCGATAACACCATCACCTCTAACTGCGAACATAGTAGGAGCCTATGAGAAGGGCCGCGATGATTTCTAACTAGAACTGTTTTATTAAACGCAATAAATGGTGTCGGTATCTTTGATGATAACGATGAAATTGTTCTTTCTGATCAATCACACATTGCTTGTGGCTGGATGTGTTTTGGTCATTCTACGAGTGAGTCACACTAGGTGATGCTCACTAACCGTCTCAGCAAACGTTTCCAGGCCGGTTTCCAGAACACTTTGGAGTCATCATTTCTCGATGAATTCCAAGTGTATCTCATCATGTTGAGCACCTCGCTCAGGCTGCCTCACAACCACAGTTGAATGGTTTGGGTTGACTAGATTTAAGTCACTTTTTCTTGTTTTGGTTTCTTTCAACACATTTGTTCACATGTAGACTTTCAATGTCGGCCGGTGGCCGAGTGGTCTGCACGTTTGCTTTGCAACCATAAGGTCACCGGTTCGAATCCGCGTAGGGGTGGGCGTCCTCGCGGTATACTCATCCCGCGCGCGACTGATGGTGGTCGCGCGGCAGCGAAGCGCCGTTACGGCGTACAGCTGACACGTTCGTCATGTTCACACTTATTATCATGGCCATTTGAGTTGTAGCAGCTGGATCCACCGCATTTTGTTACTCTGATCAGAAATGTTTAACTGAACAATTGTACCGAATGGATGCGCCCCAACTGGACCGGCGTCCGCCGGCCAGTCAACCCACCTTATTTGTTGCATGTGTCTGGAGGTTGATATAACTCCTGATCAAGCAGCGAAGCCCTGAACCTCGTCTGACAGCATCAGTTTTGCAGTCATTCGGTAATTCCTGTAGCAGCTCCTTGGGGGAGTATTATATGCCCCCCTTTCACCGTCTTCTCCGTGTCTCCTCATCTCGGATCCTAACTGATGCTCCCTGTTTAGCCGATGCCTTTGATATTTTGCTGTCTTGATAAACTTTGTTCACATCTCACGACACTGTTACATCTAGTGAACAGAAATGTACGTTAACTGACAGTAAATTGAAGTCGGCTTAGCTGCTAACCCCAACGTCTGTCGGTCTTAATAAACGAAACGCAATATCTCAACTTATGCGAGGGGGCCACGCGTCCTAGAATGCCCCACCTTTCGACCAGCTTTTGAATACGCCATTATCAATCCCCCGATGGCATCATCCAAGATCGTAAACAGTCCGCTGAGGAAGCTCGTTGAGTGACATTCGAAAAGCGTGGTCGAACCCGATATGGGCGATTCAAGCTCGCTATGCTGTCCAGAGTATTACCAGCTAATGTTTCTCGGCATCGGACGCTCGATGATCCATGCTTCGTGGACAATATGGTTAACGGTTTGTTGTCATTTAGAACCCCGGCGCGTGTACCATTACTTTCTACCGATCCTTCGTTGCCATGTGACCTCAAGCGATTATGCGCGATCTGAGATGCTACCAGGAAGGAACAGATGCCAACAACCAGCGTATATTGGACCACTCACCCTTAGTTACATTGTACACTCATTGCATCCAAGAGAATCAGTCTGATTCTTATCGTAATCCTTCACCCAATGACATATACCTGCATAGGTGGGTGCCATGCCACACCATATCAGATGATCATTTAGTCACTGTGCGACATAGTGGTGCGTCGCTCCCGTTTCCTACCTACATCATAGAAGTTTGGATTACACACCGAATGGCGCAATTCCCTCGCCAAGTTAAGCAACGGCACTTGTGTATCTGCGGGCTCCGATCCTAAGGGAGCCGTGTTTCGTTTACATATCCCAATTCTGGTGGCCAGTCACTCTATTGGACTGTCACTGGATAGCACTGGATTGGGACCGCTTGTGATTGCCCACTAATTGTATCGTCCGTTTTCTTCAAACTTTTCGCCTGTGATCCGCGCCTACTTGCAATACGCATTCGCTGTTCCACCTCGGACCAAGCATACATCCTAACGAACTTCAACAAATGAGGGTGACTTTGTTGGAGTTGTCACGTGCCTGCCTATCTTACTCTTGTCCAGATTCGTATGCGAGCCATCATCTGCACATACTGGGCTTTACTTGCGGACGAATAGCGGTCATCACGTTGTTGTACTCCGATAGATACAGTCGTTTCACTTACACTTCGATGTGTAACAGTGAGACAATCTCGACACCCCTCCCTGCGAGTCACCATTAATGCGTTTCAAGTAGCTGTAGTGGGATCATACAGGTCATTTCGAAAGTCTGCGTTTAAGCTTGAAGTGTAAATGCTACACCAGACACATTTTGTTCAAGCGCTCAAGGAAACGGCCGCTCGCTAACACTATTTTTAAGCGCCAGATGTCTACCATGACTCGTAGGAGCACTGTTTTATGCGACTAGTCCATTTTATTTTTGCGTTTAAAAGCACGTAATGTATGGATGGGGACTCCAAAACTCGACGATAAATTCTGAACCGTTGCTCGCGGAGGTCGGTCACCTCGAACTGGTGTCCATCAGCAATTGCGACATCCCAATTTCTTGTTTCCGCTTCTACCGTCTTTATTTGGAGAGTCTAAGCAAAGATGCAATCTGTCTGGACCATCATCATTATGGCTTTTCAGCTCTTCAGTTGTGTATGGATATGGCAGGTATCAGTCAAGAACAAGTTGTATACCAGCGTATTGTGACTAAAATTACCTCATTAATAGTAAGAATGGCCGTCATTGTTTGCACTGCATTCTCCATATTCCATGAGTCTGTCGAGGTAATAATGAAGTTCTCCAAGTTCATTTACCTTTCTGCACGTTGGCTTGAGGTTAGAAATGTCTGACCTACTGTGCGGCAATACAATGCAGCAGGGTATTCAAAAACGAAAATAATAGGTGGAACAAAATCGGAACGAATAATATTATGCTTTTTTATTACTTTACGTCGCCAGAGAAGGGAGGCTAAGCGAAACGGGGAGGGACATGGGCCCTCAAAACAAACACCATTGAGGTTGGTTTTTCGCCATGTCGATGAGTGTCTCTAAGTAAACATCTTTCGGGCCCAACTCGGGTGACGGAAAGGTCTAACCAAATCCAAGCCTTCATTCCTCTTAACTAATTCATCAGTTACTTTCCTCTCCTTCCTTCCGCACCCGGTCACGCAAACAACATGTCGCGGGAGTCGGTGTGCTGGCATGTGTAACACATGGCGAAACCATTGGAGCACGATGCGTGAAATGACGGTTTGGAGCAGTTCATTCGCTCTCCCTGTGCCCAATACAAGGCGTTGACCACACAATGTTCCCACCAGACATGATCTAGGCTGTGGAGGCACTAGTGGTCAAATTCAATTGGCCTCTTTATGCCTGTTGCTTTGATAGACCACGTTCCACAATCGTACATTAGGGTGAGACGCATGGCTGCGTTACAAACTCTGCCTTTTAAGGCGTTAGTAATGTCGCGCCAGTGCCATAAGTGGTGAAGTAGAACAAAACGTCTCAACTTTTTGCTATGCAATTTGCCACTCCCGCTTCTATTCCACAGGCGCTGACACAACTGCTCAACTGGTTGAATTTCTGAAGGACTTCTAGCTACTCCCCGCCAAGGGTCATTGTAGTAATCCTGGAGGAGAGTTTTGCATTTAGAGGGTGTAAAATGGCTGAAATCAAATACTAATTTGTCCAGCGTTACCTGGCACTTGTGAGTTGTCACATATTAGAGCAATATCATCAACGTATACGCCGCGTGCACTCATTTTGAACCCAGCAAGAGGCCATCTGCGACAGGGCGTCGGACGTCGCTCGAGCCATCTGATCTGGATGCATGAAGCACAAGTGCATGATGCGAAGTCAGGAAGTCGATCACATGGAGGCAGCTCCACGCCTTCAAAGTCGAGTCCGGTGAATGCAGTTTCCATAACTCCGCAACTAGCGAAATTTAAAAGGAAGACTGACAGCGCGCATCCCAGTCCCACATTGCTAGAGATACTGAAGAGCAGCAACAGTTTGCCCAAAGTCCACAATCTGTTCTAGCTGCGCGCGTAAAGCGCTCCGATGCTGTTTATGTATTTCTCGAGCACACCTTTCTTAATCAAACAGTCCTAAGGACACACCGATCCACCGAATCGAAAACGCGTTTGATGCCGAGGAACACGACTGGGATCAGTAGCCAATATTGGCGGTTCTCCAAGAGATTGAAAAGTGAATTTGCTTTTAATGAATCTGGTTTTCACGGATGACGGTCAATCTGTGAAGAACGATAGGGAGCATTGCTGTATTCCGAATGAGAAACTCACTTGAAAAGAGCAGCTCCAATCATCTGGAACAGTTCCCTGCTCCCACAGTTTCGCTAACAGATCGTGTAATTCTTCCACAAGAACTTGTCCTCCGGTTTTCAAGAGGACTGGAGATAGTCCATCTAGTCCTGCGGACTTCAAAAAATTCCAGCAATCGAATCGCGTTCGGCTTCTGCGCGGCAGATTAGATCCAAAGGACAATCCAGAGAATAGGGTAATCACTTTTCAGCAGCGTATCTGGTGGTTCCAACTGGTTACATTAAATAAACAAATCATTTGCTTCTCGACAACACGAGATTCGGTTCAGCAGAAGTTGACCGATCATTGTTTGTACAATTGTTCCACAGTGACTTCAGCAGATTGTTACTGATATATCGTCACATCCAGTGACGCTTCTTTAAGCGAGTTCCTCCAATAGACAAATCGCTGCGTCAAAGTTTCCGGCAAAATAGTAATTCATTAGGCCATGAGTATGGAGTGAGTAACGTGACTAAGAGAGGAGCAGATTAACCATTGATTGAACTGGAAAGTGCTCAACCGAAAGCTCCAAGCGTTTTGGCAAGTGCATAGGCTGTCCCCCCTCGTGGCTAACACCGGATCTGCTGAACGTTTTACGTATCAGACGGAATAACCTATGTCGGTTACCAAGGGCAACGGCTGTCTCCATCTGCGATGCACAAGTGAGACAACCAGGCTTCCCAGCCTCACTTCAAGTTAATACGCAGGTTTTCTGCGAGTCTCATTGTGTTCATTCCCAGCCGGAACGCCTCGACGAGCATCCAGAAGTTCCACAAATTGCGTAGAGACCCAATGTCTAGATTGGCGATTTGATTTGCCACATGAAGACATGCCTGTTGCTGATAACCTCTGGCGTATATGCGGTCAGTGATCTTCGACTCTGTCCACTGAGCGCTTACTCAGCTTGGATGCTTGCGTAATTTTGTATGCATTCAGGACGTCCGTTTTTCCCGGTTATCAAGTGTCTGTGTGCTCACAATGTCGTCCTGAGCATCCACCAAAACGCACTGTAGATCAGCGCATAAAAGTGCAGAGTGGGAGTGCACACTCGTGTTCCTAACCGAATGACGGTTTTCGACACAGCCTCCCCAGCGGTAACTGATCGTGATATGATCAATTTGCGTTCATAGCTGGCATGAGACTGGTGAGCGCAATGAACCCTGCAACGAGTGCTATGTCGGAACTTAGTGCTCGTGAGAGAAAAACGAGCATCTTCACATAGATGTAACAACGGCCCACCTTGTGATTAGGGGAGCATGCACCGGGTATTCGTCGCCAAAAAGCAGCTCATCTATGGATAGGTTTCCAACTTGGACGTTCAGATCACCAACAGGCACCACAGTATTCGTACTTCTGCTGTAACGAAGGAGTTCGCTAATTTGGTGATAGAAATCATCCTTCACCGAGTCAGCGGTACAGATTGTAGAGTCGTAAGCAGCAATAACAAGCTGGAACCTATTGGCCCCGCGAGACATTATAGGTTTAAACGGATCAGCTAATTTGACGGCACACACTCAGTTGATTATTTGGATCCAATCGATCAGTGGAGCTTCAGTGGGGTATCAAAACAATGATCACACGGTCTTGATCGGCATTTAAAGCTGCGTCAGCTCCGGAACATTTCAGTGAGAAAGTACCGTCAGTGCGACATCAACGGGACAGCAGGGCGAGTCTTGTAGGTCGGTTTCCGGTAAGCAGCAGATATTGATCGATAGGGTCTATATTGTTCGGGCAAGTACTGCCTATTGATACATGCTAGTATCAGCGAGGATCGGAAGCGCCTATTAGAAACGGATGGATCGACGTTGTCCGCCTGGTTGAACATGGACTTGTCGACTGGATTAAAAAGCTAAGCGTGAGATACGAAGACGGGGATGATTGGGTAGTAGCACCCTCACCCAGATCCACTCCACTCGACCCAGCAAATAGGGTGCCTTTGTTTATCCTCTGCGACGACCAGTGTCTGAAGAGAAGCTCATTGATGTGCAGTATAACCCTCCTGCGTCTCACTAAATTATAGTTTTTGTTTGATCAGAGTACATTTACTTGGTCAAAGTCTTTACGCTTGTTGACCTGCCAGCCGATGGATATAGCAACAAATACGAATGTCCACCGTTCTGATTGGGGGTCTGAGGATGATAGGCTGTTAGCGACTGTACCCGACATAGGGATGTCACGAGGCTATTGGCGCTTTTGGTCACCATTTTCCTGCTGCTAGTCTTTTCGTTCAATAGCTGTGTCATGGCAACTGCACCTACCGCTTTTCGGTGCGTCGGCCGAGTGGTCTGCGTACCTGATTTGCAGTCATAAGGTCTCCGGTTCGAATCCGCGTAAGGGTGGGCGTCCTCGCGCGACTGGTGGTGGTCGCGCGGCAGCGAAGCGCCGTTACGGCGTACAGCTGGCACATTATTATTATTACTTTTCGGTGCTGAAGCCATGACTGACTTACTAAACACAAAAAACGCCAAAGTGATCTTTTCTGGTACAAACGCTTATTCGCTTCCATGTCAATGAGGAGGACGTTGAAGGGGGGATAAGCAAGTCGGATAATGAGCGACCGATATTTTTTTAGTTTAAATATGTGACGCTGAAAATGTCTTTATTCTCAATCATTCCATGTCCCAGCTATCCGACGCACTTGATAAGCATACGAACCAGTCTCTCGTTGTCTCGCAATATGCAACCAATGATCGTGGTTAGTGTTCCACGGAGCGACTTGTGTCTCAGGCGACTGCAAAGCATTAAATCTGGGTTGTCCATCACCTGTGTGTTACTTCCTTTTCAATATATTATGGCACCCCACCCGTTCTCTTCTAATAGCCTCAAAATTTAGCGAGTACATGATTTTGACGACGGTTGCACTGATAGAGCTACATGCTGGATTTGCGGATTATGGTGATCGAACCTTTTCACGTCAATGCTGAAAGGCTCCATCGAAGATGTCCGCTTCAGGAACCAGTTGCACCTACGAATTTGGATACTTGACCCTAATTGGTGGGCCTTTCACTCGAGAACTGTATTGCCTTTCTCGACCACTTTTTCACTGACCTGCCGTTTGTTTTTCGTTTTGTTTCTCATTTGCTTCACTGTTCAGGACGCGAACCAAAGCAACTGCGTCCAACATACTCTGGCGCTTAGATCATAGTTGAATTTCTGAACCCGATAGAATTTAATTCCGCAGCGATAATCAGACTCGTCTTCGCTACCTCATTCACATTAAGAGACATCGTATAAACCAGTCCAATCTATGATTCGTAGATTTCTCACTTCCAACTAGTAGTCCCTCGTTGTGATGTTTCTAGGGTTCCAGAACCACTTTTCCCTTTGTTTCACTGTCGTTGGTGTTCTACAGCGAGGGCAGTGCGAATTTTAAACACCCAATTCACTGCACGAGGGTACGTATACCATATGCTGATTAGCTCAGACAGCGAGTCAAAGATTTCTGTCGTAGGTAAGTGCTTTCTTATCGGAATATCGCGATCTCTTAGGGCGCTGCGAAGCAATCGGTAAATGTACAACAATATTGAGTCCTACGTGTGCTCACAAGCTACATAAGCGGTTGGTATAATGACATGTTTCAGGATTGCTGAGCAGTAAGACTGTCTCGTGTTTTCTGGGGTGAGATCTCGACTCGTTGCTATAACAGGATAGGATGTAGTGACAAATTATTTTCCTGTGATGGACTAATTTTGAGTAGAAAAACAAACGCTACAATACAATGCAATATAGCAAGGCGTTCTATCGACAAAATCCACACTGTGACATCTTTGTGTTTTAGGATCGCAGTTTGTTCGCTTGTGGTTACTTGATACACCTAGTGCATTCATGTTAATCAAACCGCTGTCAATTAACCACCGTTTATTTTCCTTTTGATCACATAGCTGGACACAAACGAAAAGCCTCCAAGCCAGGGAATGCGAGATGTATACGCCGCGTGCACTCATTTTGAACCCAGCAAGAGGCCATCGGCGAAACAGCTCCTCCAAATGCCTTGGATTGAGTGGGGTCTTCGGATGTCGCTCGAGCCATCCGATCTGGACCCATGTAACACAAGTGCATGATGTGACGATCGTCTTTTATTTACAACTCGAAATCAATGCATATGTACAGCGGTATCCGAATTGCGCTCGCCGCAGCCGCCTTCACGTTTCCTTTACCTGGAACCCATTCGGATACTGTTTCTTGAATCGTTCCACCACAGTGGGGTCGACGAGGTACGTGCCGTCCAATTGATTGCCCAATGTGATCCTGAAATGCGCAAACGACATTTGCAAACGTTACTGCCATCCTGACATCAGCGGCTAATGTGCAACCAGCTTAGTTTGAAACTGTACTTAAAACTTACCCGACATTGGTTGCTTTATACAAGAAAGAGGGCGGGATTTGTTTTATGAACCAAGGCTAAGCGCAAAACTTTCACTGCAAAAAGGAATTCCAGCAGGCGCGAATCGAGATTATATCGATCTGCCATGTCTTTTATCCCCTTTATAAATAAATTTACTTGGCTAAAGCCGGGAAGTGAAAAACTTGGAAGGTATCAAATGACCGCCACATGCATAAGGCAGAAAAAATGGAAATGTAACATCGAGCTTTTTTTGGGTTTCTGAGTTTTATGTGTTCGACTAGCCATTAACTAATAGGTGATGCGGTGAACCAACACTGGCGCCACAGATGTCTGTTGCGGGCCATAACATCAAACGTTTCCAACCAATGGCAGTCCGAGTCATGTGGTCCGCGGTCTGGAGGTTGAGCCGGTCCGATCCCGTGGGCAAGGCTCCGTCGGAGTGGGTCAGCAGTAAGTCAGAACTCAGCATGGCTTTCAGGCGAACGAAAGCTTTCTTGTATGCGGGGTATCAGTGCCAAGGAACGTCCTTCTGCAACAACCGATTGAACGGGGCTCGAACATCATGTAGCGATGGCAAGAAGACGCTGTAGTAGCTGATGAGACCCAGGAAGGACCGCCGTTGTGACACATCCGGTGGATCTGACATCTACTGGATGGCTCTGACGTTCTCAGGAGCAGGATGACTACCATTAGCATCGAAAACGAAACCAAGGTATTTGATCGACGGAAGGAAGGATTGGCATTTCTCGGCTTTCAGGCGGAAACCGTACTCCTGGACCCGTTGAAGGACAGCAACCAGGGTGCGAGCAACAATTAAATCGTCCAGGTACGCGGCCGTACCCGAAATGCCAGAGATCATAGCGTCTATCGTCTGTTGGAGATGGCTGGAGCGGTTTTGACATCAAACGGGAGCCTGGTGTACTGGAGAAGACCACGATGCGTATTGGTCGTTAGGAGGGCTTATGACTCAAGAGCAACCTCGATCTGCAGGTAGGCGTCTGCCAGGTCGATTTTAACGAAACACGTGCCACCGTTGAGTCTTGTGAAGAGGTCGGTTGGGATCGGTAGCGGGTAGCAATTTGATTCTAGTGCTGCGGTGAGACCGGTGGAGAAATTGGCATAGATGCGGAGGAATCCATTCGACGACGATTGGCGCTGCCCAGGCGGAATAGGACACAGGCACCAGGACGCCCATGTATTTCAAACGTTGGAGTTCGGCATCGACCAAGGGTAAGGCTGCATATGGGACAGGCTTTTTGGGACGGAGTCCCGGTTGAGCACCAGGTACGAGCTATAACGCGGCGCGGGTGCGTGCACAGCGGCCAAGACAATCCCGGAATACCGGGGCAAACTGTCTGTTGATGTCGTCGGTCCGTCTCGTCAAAGGTAACGTTGCGTGGGTTCCTCGGCAAGGTGAAGTTGGTGTAGCGTTAGTGTTCGAGCTTATCGAACTTGCGCAGAAGCAGTCGGACCTTCCATGTCCTGGCAAGCCAAGTCAATGGCGAACAGGTCCTCGTACCGCTTATACCAAGATCCGAACGTTACCCCGGTCTTGGCGTCGTACAGAAATTTGCTGATGCCGCTAACCACATGGTCCATTGACTGAGGATTAGCACTTGGACCTGCATAAAGGGAAAAACTGGAGAGTTTGTCGGTCAGCACAGACATCAATTTAAGTTGTTGCTGCAGCATAAGTTTTAAATCGGCGTACTCGTCAGTCATGGTTCGTAAACTCTGTCGCCACTGATAAGACTTTAAGCCTGATACGATTGTCACTGGCACGGTTTGAGCACGCCTACGATAACAGCTTGTAACGCTGGTCGACAGAATAGATTTGCGCTGACGTTGGCTTAGCGTTAGCTTAGCCCGGCGTACGCGTTGGTGAGACGTAAAGTGAGTGAGCATGAGAGCGATCCTAGCCGCACGTATTCGGGTAGACGCTGAGCCCTCGGAACGTACGCACACAAGAGGGGATTACGGTGGATGCGCGCTAGTGACTTAGACGCGAACGCTGACCGGCTGACGCACACAAAATCACGTGACCGACCGACTCCCAACTGAGGCGAAGAGGAAGCAAGACAGGTGGTCCTCTGAAGGCTCTTTTACGAGCAACATAGGGCGAATCACAGCCAATATTATGGGTCATTAAGTTAGTGAAAATAGTTACCGCGACAGGGTAGTAGTTTGTAAAAGAACATTGTCAACATGTGCGCAGTTGTGCCGCGTCTCGGAGTGGCTAAAATCTGCTACTTTGTGGGAGGAATTGAACTCCGCTTTCAACAGCCAGTACGCCGGAGTTTGTGGCACGTATTTACGGAGATATTTGACGAGCTCGCAGCAACCATTGATTCGCCTCGAACTGGAACTCGTTCATGTGATTCTCGTAGCAGACAGTTTTTTACGTGCTCATGTGCTGAGTAGAGTGTGCCACTTCACGCTATCTACTAAAGCTTTCCTACTACCATACCGGTGTTCTGATTTCGCTTGGCAGTTGTCTTTACTGGTTGTCCACCGCAGCAATTTTTCCAGTCGCTTTTGGAAAGTGCAAATAATGCTCGACGTGGAAAGCGGAATACGTGATCGAACCAACGGATGACGTGTCGGAGAATAACATTTTGAGGGCATGAGCTGTTCGCCTCAAGTACTCGAACTTATGTGTTGATTACGTCCTTTTGCCACTACACAAGAGCAATCCTTCGCAGAAAACGACTATCAAAAAGTGACAATCGTTTTGCGCCTTACGGCATACATGCTAAGTCCCACAGTTGTACGAGAGGACCGCATGGACGCACATACTAATCTTGAGCTTGATACTGACATTACGACGACGCTGTAGATGTCTCAGCTTAATAAATACAAGACGTACCTTTGCGATCCGTTGTGAGACATCATCTTCAACACCGCCACCAGCCGTGAAGCAACTTCCTAGGTAAGTGGAGCAATGGACTTGTTCCAGAACGTCACCAGCAAGGGTGAGTGCAGGCACAGGCACCTACCCATCCTGGAGAAATGTTTTACATATGTCTGGGGTTCACCCCAAGGTATACATAGACACCTCCGTCGCTAAGCGCTTCAAAGCGCTTACCGTGCTCACCTTTCCTTAATAGACAGTTCCACAACGCAAATCTTTCTGCTGAATCAAATGCCGTTCGGATGTACAAGATCACTAAGATTGTTGGCTGCCGATGGACGTGGCGGAGTTCGAAAAGTTGTCGGGGGTGAAAGCCTGGTCGATGTAACCGCGGGCTAGACGAAGGTCAGCTTATACCTTTCAGGAAAGCCTCTATCTGGTTGCTGAAGGGCTGCGAAGTAGAACGGACTCGGGGATCTTGGATGCAACAGGTATGAACGAAATTCCACGGTGATTGGCGCGATTTTCGCGGAAGCCCTTCTTGTGAATCGTGATAATGACCGGTTCCTCCCATGCAATTGGGACTTTGTCATTAGTCCAAACCTCCGTGAACCGGCATAAGATTTTGCTGACAAGTACATTCCCGCTATCTTTGAATAGAGCCTGGGGTAGACTGTCAGGACCAAGAGCTTTATGACGCTCCAAAGAATGGATTGTGTTTCGGTAGGGGTTCTATGGAGACAGGCCAAACACTACCGATGGGAAACGGAGGTGTCACTGGGAGCTCCGTTAGATATTTGAATTGAAGAGTAAAGTTTTCCGCCCAGCGACCCAAGCGTTTGTGTACGTTGGTGATTTTCGTGTCGTCCGACTCGCAGATTGACTAATAGCTTGTGATGAGGTAAAATTGACTGCGGAAGTTTGCAGCCGATGCAGCGGCTTCCCTCTCGGCAGCTCGTTCTGACCACCAGCATTCACGATCACAGCGAAGGCTTGATTTCAGCTGTTGAGTGATAGACGGACGCAATTCGTTGTGCTCCGCACCGGTGGGCACAGCCCATCGACGGTGCAGCAGTTCCGAGGACCTCATCGAGATTCAGCTTTTGACTGTGCAGCAAGCGATGTCGCAGTTGGACCAACCGGCGGATAGCATAACTAGTTGCAAATCTGGTCAGTGTTAGTTAACATCCAGAGTAGGGGAGAGTGAGATTTTCCTTCCACTTCTGTTGGTACTCCGTTTTCACCGTTGGGTGATCCAACTTGTAGTTGTTCAGTCAGGTATGTTTGGGTCTAGGCGAGCCACCGAAACGCTTGCCAACTTTCACACACAAACGCACACCAATGCATGATCAGTTTTAACGCAGGTTGACTAGTTTCTTGTGGACGTTGCTTTGATCGAAGGGCGCAGCTGGACTTGAGCTAATGTAGAAGGGCAAGGAAGATAAGCTTAGTGAGGTGGAACTGTACACCGAATTCAGTATATGCACATCCCCTTCACCTCTCTGGCTGAACACGCTCTTACCACAGAGCTGCCACAGAAGCCTCCATAGATTGCGACAATTACAGTTGCCTAGAACTGCTTCGACGTATAATTGGTTTATTCTTTTTATCTCGGATTTAATTGCCGTGGTTAGGCTTTTGACACGGGTAGCATTCTTGCACTTATAGGCCCATTCTTTCATCCTTCGAAGTCGCTTTAGTAGTGGTGAGGAAAATCTATCTGCTCTTAGATAGATCGTTTCAACAGGGCAACACATGTCAAAGCAATATTTGATGTAGTCCGTAAGATGGTCACATTTGAGTGACAGGTCCACGTCGTGGAAGACCGAAAAATCAGTTAAAGAAAGCATCATCTGGAGCCTCGTGATATTTTCCAAGGAGCAATTTCGCCGTATGCTAATCTTGTAAGGCCGTCTGGTCAGCGTTAAAAAATTAGACTTGCTGTAGATGACTGGACACAGTTTTAACATACAATGGTCTGAGCTGCTTAAAGGAGCCCGCCTTTGTATGGTAAATAACTGTCGTTTATTTGTGAACACAGCGTCCAACTGGGCATCTTGTCTGGTCGAAATAGTCACTAGGTCTACCAAGCCAAGTGTCTACAAAAATGTTGTATCCTTTCTATTGAAGTCGCCAGCAACAATACAGACAG